ACTTTAAACCGCATAAACACATTTCATTACACCAAATACACAAAATAATGTTCTTTTTAGCAGCATCATATGACCCCTTTAAATCGTGTCGGCATTGTGTTTCTGTTTGAAAATTCTGTAACGGCCGCAGCGATTTCGACCAATCAGAGTCTTGTTGCTATGACTAATAACTAAAACGGCAACCAATCATGCATGAAACAGTAATTTTGTACCTTTGACGTGAGAACTTTTATGTACCTTCATTTCAGTTGTACCTTGAAAGGTACCAAACAGTAACATCAGAGGTCTTTACTGTACCATTAAAGGTACAGTTATTGAAAAGGTACAAAACTGTTCTTTGAGGAACATTATTTGTTCCATCGTGTACCTTTTTTTCTGAGAGTGTGGAAGAAGGTTCTTCAGTTCATAGCTCACATATGAATAATAATCTAAAAATGTTCATGCCCTGTGGGGGGAGAAACAGAGCGATGCCATCTGATCTCTGCTGAATCAAACATCAAGGATACAGAAAATAAAAATGACCAATGTCTGATTAAGTCCCCCGTGTGTTAAATCTGATGGCTAGGAGGCCGATTTAGAAGAAAAAAAAATGAATCTGAATTGGACACGACCTAAATCTTACAGAAGTTCATTTTCATTAATTAATTTATTAGCTCTTTTCATAAATACGGTAAGCATAAAACATCAAATCTCCTCTCATTTTAAATGTTACTTTGTGAATTGCAAATGCTTTCCCCACTGAAGTAGAAAATAACCCAACACACAATACTCACGTCTCATCTTGCAGAACTTCTGACACTGAATAACACATGTAAAGGGTTGTTATGGACAGAGTGCATGATGGGATTCCATTGCATTCAGGTCAAACAGACCTCTCTGCATGTGAACCAGGACTAGGAAACAGCTGCTGTGAAAATCAGTAGGATTATTGAAAATGTTTTCCCTGGGGCCGCGGATCCACATTTGGAAATGTGGCCAATTATCTTGCGATTACACATGCAAGGAGAGAACTTACGCTCCGCGAAGCCTCAGCCCTTTCAAATTTTCATTTCCATTATTATTTTGAAAGAGCATTCTACATGCAACTTTGTTCTCAGACACTTTGCCTCTCTGTCATCTCATGCATCTTAGAGCAGCGCTGTTAAACCAGAGCCAAATGAAGTGTGTGAGTGTGTGTGAATGTCAGCTACCTGAGGGGGAAGGGTGGAGGTGGCTCTAGGTTAATTGATAGTGCTGTAAACAAACTTCAGAGGAGTCCCAATGCTCCAGCTCACATAGACATAGAAGATGATGATGGGGTAGGAAAAAAGGAGGGCATAAGACAATCTGAGCAGAGACTAAAGTGTCACTGCTCTGTTTAAGAGGCTTTTTGCTGCATTTTGGAATACTGTCATAACTATAGTGGAGCTAAAAGGGACGGGATAAAAATAAAACAAGATAAACATTCACAGTCAGATGCTCTCAGATAGCAAATTTCCCTCAGATAAAAATGTTCCCAAGTGAGCAGCAACAGACAGAACTGAAAATGGTGGTAAGGAACAACTTACTTGTGTTCAGATTCAATCAGGTTTGGTTTTAATTAGGCTTCAGAATGGAGAAACAGTCCTATTTTTACAAAAAATACCCGAACATTCAGTGCGACATTCAGTTTTATTAGTGGTTCAACTTACAATATTCTTCCAATAGGATTGAACATATCAGTAAAATACTCTGAAATTGTTCCCTCCATTGCCGTTCAGAGCGAAACATACGACCAGTGAAGGCCGATTCTTGAGATAATGACTCTTATGAGCTGTTCTTGAATCAAAAATATAAGTAGGCCTACAAATGAATAGTTCACACAAAAATGGAAATTCTGTCATCATTTACCCTCCTTTTGTTACAAACCTGTTCGACTTTTTTTCTTCTGTGGAACATAAAAAAGAAGACATTTTGAAGAAAGCTTGGGTCCAAACAACACTGGACCCCAGTAACTTTTCATTTTTCAAAATATATTATTTTTTGTCCGACAGAAGAAAGACCTCATACAGGTTTGGAAAGGCATGACGGTGAGTAAATGATGACTAAAATAAAAAAAAAATTTGGTCAGTATCCCTTTAAAGCTTGTAAGGCCAGAATTAGTAACTGATAGGTTATTCATGACAATGGGTAGATAATGCACATTACATTATGAGTCCTGTCAGTAGTATTTTATAGAAATAAGAGACTGAATTAAATACATTTCCAAATTTTTGTTCTTAGTTGTTACACATTTATTATGAAAATGATTTAAGCACTTGGCAACAGAATTGTATTTCTGCTTTCCAAATATTTCTTTCTCAAATTAAAAAAAAATCATTAATGGAACTGTTAAGAGGATTATTTGGTCAGTATCCCTTTAAAGCTTGTAAGGCCAGAATTAGTAACTGATAGGTTATTCATGACAATGGGTAGATAATGCACATTACATTATGAGTCCTGTCAGTAGTATTTTATAGAAATAAGAGACTGAATTAAATAAATTTCCAAATTTTTGTTCTTAGTTGTTACACATTTATTATGAAAATGATTTAAGCACTTGGCAACAGAATTGTATTTCTGCTTTCCAAATATTTCTTTCTCAAATTAAAAAAAAATCATTAATGGAACTGTTAAGAGGATTCAGAACCGGAATCCTTTAGATTCCCATCCCTAGTAAGTACTGAAAGATTGCTAAATGAACGATCACATTTTAAATTGATGAGAGATTTGGTCAGTATCCCTTTAAAGCTTGTAAGGCCAGAATTAGTAACTGATAGGTTATTCATGACAATGGGTAGATAATGCACATTACATTATGAGTCCTGTCAGTAGTATTTTATAGAAATAAGAGACTGAATTAAATACATTTCCAAATTTTTGTTCTTAGTTGTTACACATTTATTATGAAAATGATTTAAGCACTTGGCAACAGAATTGTATTTCTGCTTTCCAAATATTTCTTTCTCAAATTAAAAAAAAATCATTAATGGAACTGTTAAGAGGATTCAGAACCGGAATCCTTTAGATTCCCATCCCTAGTAAGTACTGAAAGATTGCTAAATGAACGATCACATTTTAAATTGATGAGAGACTTCAAAGATGAGAATATAAATCCAACAAGATGCCCTAAAAACATACCCTA